ACAATCTTGGCTTATCGCAACCTCTGCCTCCTGGGTTGAATCGATTCTCCTGCCCCATTCTCCTTAGTAGCTGGGATTACAGGCATGAGCCACCACACCCAGCTAATTTTGTATTTTTAGTAGAGACAGAGTTTCTCCAAGTTGGTCAGACTGGTCTTGAATTCCCGACCTCAGGTGATCTGCTCACCTTGGCCTCCCAAAGTGCTAGGATTACAGGCATGAGCCATTGCACGGTGCCATTTTTAAGCTTCTAATACATGATATCCTTCACTTATTTAATTACACACATTGTTTCTTATTTGTCACTTTCTACTAAAATGCAAGCCCCTTGAAGGTAAAAAAAATTTTTTCCACTGATTTGTTGCAACTGTCTGGAACGGACCCTGGCACACAGTCAGCCCTCACTAAGTATTTGTCAAATGGATGAATAAGCCAATGGTATAAAGTCAAAGGCAATTCGGAGCAGCAGTTCTATTGGCAGTCAAGCAAAATAGAGCTGAAAGGTATCTCAAATGGTTTTCTATTCAGACTTTCTGTTCGAACAGCAAAATCCCATAAAACCTGTGTATTCTAAAATTTACCGCTGCCTTTTCTTCTCTCTCAATGACGAACAGCTCAGTGTCTGGGGTTTCTATGGGTCAGACATCACTGAAATATATAGTCTTTCTGCATATCCTCTGAGTTATGCAAGCTGCCAACATCAGATTCATCTCAGATAACTGATTGATATTTAAACCCACCATTTTCTCCCTCAGAAAGTTTTTTTATATATGAACCTTTTCCTTCCAGTATATTTTGCTAAGATGATTGCAGTAGCTTCCTAACTTGTCTGTCTGCTCACCTCTAGCCCATTTTTCCTTCAGGATGTACTACATATTGTTGTCCAGTTAATCTTCTGATTACTCAAAATTTGTCTAAACCTAAAACTCCTCTCTGAAGACCAACCCTTTGGCAAAAATTTGAAGGCTCTTCCAATGTCTTCATTTGTTATCTTCTCACTTATCTCCTGTGGCACACACTTCCTGATGGAGCCTGAACTGGCAGCCCTTTCTGCAATTCTGTATAGATCCTATAACTTTCTTTCTCCATGCTTTTTCCTTGGCTGGAATGCTTTTTGGTCTCAACTTCAATTGTTAAAATCTTACCTATTCTTCAAGACCTGTTTTAAATACCAGCTCTTCTGTAAAACTTGCCAAGGTATCAACAACAAAATTGATGTGTATAATCACATTTTGCTTATTACTCTGTTGTAGTGTTGACTTCGCACGCGTGTGTGTGTGTGTGTGTGTGTGTGTGTGTGTGTGAAATCATATATATATATTTGAGATGGAATCTCACTCTGTTGCACAGGCTGGAATACAGTGGTGTGATCTCGGCTCACTGCAACCTCCACCTCCCTGCTTCAAGCAATTCCCCTGCCTCAGCCTCCCGAGTAGCTGGGATTACAGACACATGCCACCCTGCCTGGCTAATTTTTTTTGTATTTTTAATAGAGACAGCGTTTCACCATGTTGGCCAGAACTCCTGACCTCAGGTGATCTGCCCTCCTCAGGCTCCCAAAGTGTTTGGATTACAGGCGTGAGCCACCACACATAGTCAATTATATTTTACTATATACTTATTTGAATTAAGTTATTTTCTGTTAGATTGGACAGGGACATATTCTTACTTTTTTGATTGTCCTATAGCTTCTACAGTGTATTATGCGTAAGGTGTGAAGATAAATGCCCCTTGAATTCTATGATGTTCAATGTTGTCATTATCTTTAACTTCATAGTCATCACTGACCTTGGCATGCTTTCTCTTACTCATACTGGCACTTGCAAGGATGAATTGAATTCTTGCCTTGCATGACTTCTTAATTTAAAACAAAGTTAGTTTTCTGAAAGGCAAAACACAAAGTATATCAATAGCAGCAATGTAGAACTACTTCCAAACAGATACGTTTTTAATTGAATCTGTTTAAAAATGATATTTGATAGCTTGTGATCTCATTACGTTTGAGGTGTAAAACTCTATTTTCTTCTGAGACATAACTTAGGTATTTTAAATTAAATTAAAATGGTTTTCTTAGCAGTTAGTTGGAAAAATACTGTTTGGTCAGTTTTTACTGAATGCAAAGAAGTTTACCGATCCTCACCTATATCTCTTAATAAAATTTTGATGATACAATTTGCACCTTTTAGCATTCTTGAAAAATGGTTAAATCTTTTATCATAAGCCATGATTATGTTGAAAGCTACATAGAGTAGCTGCTTTCTTTATGGGCAAGATGCTTTTGTTTATCTCTTCCTACTTAGTTTATGAGAGAGTACAAGAGAACTTAAATTTGAACATGAGTCATCGACGCAGTTCATTTGAAATTTTCTGAACTAAATTCTTGCAATTTTTAACCTTTATTCTTTACTGTAATGCTTATTACATATTGAGTAGAGCTATATAAGAGTAGTACTAAGTAGCAAGTACCCAGCAGTCCTTGAAGGGGATTGCTAATATTCAATGTTAATTTTAAAAACTATAAAAGCCACACACACATACACACAAAACCTCTGGCATTTGAAGGTAAATATGCCATGATTCTTTTTTCTGATTAACCTCAAAAATTAAGAAATTCACTTTTTAAGGTAGGAAAGGTTATTTCTTAGAAAGTAAACTTCAGCCATGCTTATATGCCTTTGTGATATATTCTGTATGGCTTTTTTTTCCCATTTATTTATTTTATTGCATTTTAGGTTTTGGGGTACATGTGAAGAACATGCAAAATTGTTGCATAGGAACACACGTGGCAGTGTGATTTGCCGCCTTCCTCCCCATCACCTACATCTGGCATTTCTCCCCTTGCTATCTCTCCCCAGCTTCCCACCCCCCACCGTCCCTCCCCTATTTCCCCCCAACTGACCCCAGTGTGTAGTGCTCCCCTCCCTGTGTCCATGTGTTCTCATTGTTCAACACCCACCTATGAGTGAGAACATGCAGTGCTTGATCTTCTGCTCTTCTGTCAGTTTGCTGAGAATGGTGGTTTCCAGGTTCATCCATGTCCCTACAAACTCATCATTTTTGATGGCTGCATAATATTCCATGGTGTATATGTGCCACATTTTCCCTATCCAGTCTATCATTGATGGGCATTTGGGTTGGTTCCAATATTATTAGTTAACTCAGACCATTATTTAATTTTTCACATGCTTGTTTCTTTTTCTATCTAGATTTTAAGGTCAAGGACTGTGTGTAATATTTTTATATACCTAATAGTTTGTAATGCTGAACTATAGACCAATAGAATGCTCTCAACTAGTATCTATTAGTACCTAATAATGATATTATATTTCATTGATTGTAAGATACAATTCTGTTGGTATTTTTTACATTTTGGCATCTCTGAAGTAGGGTTGTATTTTACATTTGATGGCATCCTACAATTATAATTGGCAGCGTCTATTTTGTAATATCTTACAATTAATTTGTGGTGTGCTGTATTGGAAGAAATCTAGCAACTAACATTTATCATTTATAATTTACATGGTCTTCCTAAAGCTGGCGATTGAATTGACACTACAGTCAATTCTGTAATCACATTTTAGTACAGCCAATGTATGATGCAAACTCTGTGATTTTTGAAATCCTGGTTTCCTATTTAAAATCCTTTTTTAAAAAAAAATCCCATAGTAAGAATTAGGAAGCATTTGAACTGAGATGATTATATAATATACTGTGTGTGCCTTTCCCAGTGAAGAGTAAGTGGTGTCCTGTCTGAATAAACTGTGTTTTATTGGTAAACCACTTAGCCACATAGTCATTTGGGCTGTCTGTTTATGGCCTTTCTTGTTAAAAATAATCAAGTGATAGACATAGAGGAGAAGAATGACTTCAGGATAAAGTGATGGCTATACTGGTACAAATGTAGAAAAATGACTACAATTATT